GGCCTGGGGCATAAGAGGCACATACACATTTGTGAAATTAGCAAATAGAAAATGCAATTGCATTCTGCAGCCATTAGTGGTTATAACTCAATAAAATAAGACACTGGCTATTAGAATCTGCATCTGGAGAGTAAGTCTATAATATAAATCTTCAGTAGAAAACTCTGTAAGTTTTATTCCTTCTTTGCAATTATCCCTCTTGCCATTTAAGCTGATATAAAGGCTTACTTAAACATTGTTTTAAGAAAAGCCAAGAACAGTCTATAAGTTATTTAAAAGTAGTATTAATATTTGCGATTTAATGATATGCACATCAATTTTCAAAGTGCAATTTCAATATGCAAGATCCTGCTTTTGATAAAAGGGAAATGGATTTTTAAGTCTAAATGATAAAGGCAATTTTAAAATGAGGTTTTGGATTTGAGATAAAGAGGAGACAGTCTGAACATAGAGAGCAAAGACCATGGAAGAGACCATGGACATCCAAAGTCTGTGCCGGTACATGGTACCCAAATACCAGGGATAATGTCTTTCTGCATTCATATTAAACAGTGCAAAAGAGTGACAGATCTCTGAATAAAAAAGATACTCAACTGCAAAACTGGTATAACTGAATTTTGTCTTGAAAAACTTACACATTGACTTGGCACATTGACATTTTCTTCTGTTAGATGAAATCAGTCCCATACATTATATGGAATTCATTATGACAGAAATAACATATATTTTTGCACATCTCAGTTGTGAAAGTGAATGTTAAATCTTGTCACATAAGAGAAATGTGGTTGAGCACAATTCAGCTGCCTGTTTAATGTAGCTCCTGCCTACATTAACAGAAAATGGAAATGGTAAATGTTATGTTAATAATGTTGCTGTCCTTGACAAAGAGAAGTGATTACTATTTATCTAAAACTAAATATAATCAAATACCAAATATTTGCTTAAGTGTTTTTTATGACTATAGACTTATAGCTATCAAACAAAAATAAACACTAAACCCTTTGTATTTAAATTATTGCAGATGTATAATATGCAATGAGAAATTTGAAATTATCTAGCCTAATATCTTTTCTCATTTAATCATCTTTATATTCTATTTTAATATACCTTATTAAACTAGAACTTAGCTGACAAATTGTAGCAGAGTACACTAAACTTTGATGGAGAGAAGAGATAAAATAGTAAGTAGAGTTGGGGAGTTTTCTCAGATGAACTGATAATTAAATCAGAATTTCTCAAAAACTATAATAAGTTCGGTGGATAAAATGGGTGCTATAGAAGAAAATAACAGAAGCCAAGAATCTAAGAAAAGATTCCTAGAGAAAGTTGCATCTGAGTTATGGTATGAGGATCAGTACTAGCAATAGGAGAGAAGGAATATTTTAGGCAGCAAAAACAGTATGATAATAATATCTTCTCACAATAACCCAAAATGTACAGTGGACCAATTGCCCATGTTTTACCAAACGATGCTGTTTTAAACATGTACATGTACTCAAAACAGATTGTTTTACCTCTTATGTAGTTTGGGCATTTGGCTAAAAAAAATTCAGAAGACAGCTTCATTATCTCAAGCAGACAATAATATAACTGATTATAGTCATATGTTTGTTATGTATATGAAACATATCCAAGAAAAAAATTTGCATTGCTTTGAAGCAAACATAATTATATTTTATTACTCTGAACTATTTAATTGTATATTCTTTCTAGATGGCACTGTTATCAAAGTTACTATTTCCAAGACTTCGGCATTTAAAAAAATATTTATACTTTCTAGTAGATATATAAATATTAAAATATATATAAATATAAATGTAGACATAACTACATGTATTCATATTTAAAATCCTTAAGCATAAATTCATAAACTTTTATCTATAGATTGTGTCTAGTTAAGAAGAGACTTCTTGCTAAATGAGTGACTATTTTAGAAAACATATAAATTTACTATTTGTATCTTTCCTAAATTTAAATCACTAATAATTAAATTAAAACTCAAGTTCATAAGCAAATATTCTTTAGGAAAGAAAGACATGATACTGCAAATATACTGATCAACCGATTTCTTTCTTTGCTAGGATAAAATGTAAACCTTTGATCATATGCCATCACTTGTGTACTTCCTGTATGTTAAATTCAGTCAAATCACTACATGTGTAAATTTGGACTCTATCTGTGATAGTGTTTAATTACTACTACCCTAGATAAATTATAGAATGGCTTTAAATAATCAACTTTACAAATGTTAGTTTATTATCTTTTTCCAATTCTAGATACCACAAATCTACATAAGAATAAGAACCATGTCAGCCTTGATCATCACAAAATCTCAACAGCTAATAGAATACAAAGCACAGAATAAAGAAGTATTGGGTTAATCAATGACACCCTGTGTACATATTGTTTAACGTGTTCTTCAAAAAAATGCTCTGATTTAGAGAATTAAGAATCATAAACTTTCCTGGTCAGAGTCTTGAAAAATATATATCCTTAATAACTTGGTTAAGTATATTCATAGGTATAAGCAAAACTAAATTTTTTTGAATAATACATTTGGTTACCAGATTTTAACACTTTTAATATTGTATTTAATGTTCTTTTCTCTTTCTTCTATGTCACTAACACCATTTCATTCAAATTTTACTTTGATGGAGCAAAACTAGAGTAGAAATAAAACTGGGATAGAAAGGAATGTGTATTTTGGTTCTGGCTCTGTCACTACCAGATGTATGATCTTGAAAAACATACAAAGGTATAATGTCCTTGTGTTTTAAAGTTCAAGGTTCTCTAAGTGAAACCTTGCAGTGCCATTACTTTCTTGAAATGGAATAACATAAATATGAACAGATTTAAACATCTCACAAAATAGTATACTTTAGGAATCTTGAAAATGTTTCCAGAGGAGGCAAGAAAAATAAATGTTTTAAGTGTATAAGAATAACAAAAAGTTTTATATGTTCATGTAAGAAAGAGAAGGTCAATTTGAATGTAAAAAGAGCATGTACCGAAAAACCAAAACATGTAACCCTCTTGAGGGGCATAACTTCTTTTTGAATGTCAAATCATATATCTTCCTTGGTTTGAAACCAAACTGTAACCCATATTTCATAATATTTTTTCTTCCTGTCTTCAAATGTAAATTCTGAAAGATACGCTTTTAATTTCTTACCTTCCACTTAACCTAAACACGGACATGTGAGCCAGTTTTGCTCAAGGAGATATTAGCAGGTTTTGATTGTTATTTTAAAAAGGTTCTCCTTATAGAAAGACTCAAATACATTGGCACCACTCTTCTCCCTTGACTCAAGTGTAGAAACAATGACTTAAGTCATCGCAGCAGCAATTCTGAATGCATGAGCCTATAATCATGAATTAAAGACTAAGAAAACCATAATCCCAGTCTGGTACTGTCAACTCACTGGACCAATACCAGTAGCTGTTTACCTACAGAATTTCTATTATGTAAGAAAAAATGAACCCTCGTTATTAAGGCCAATAATTAACTGAGTTTTTTTTTTTTTTTTTTTTTTTTACTTATAGCTGTACTAATATGCAAACATATATTAAAACATCTTCAATCATGTGCCACAGGTAATATCCTAGATAACATCATCTTAAAACAATGCGAAGTACCATATTTTGAAATGAAATTAGAGAAATTACCAAAAGAAAAATAGAGAACATGTTAATCTTTCAAATGTTAAGATACGTTTAAAATATCAGAGCAAGGTGTTATAACAACTTGACAAAAAGTGTTTCTCAGTCATGTTAGGCTCAGTGTGTTGTTTCTTATTTTAACACTATCAGCGGCAGTAACAAGAAGGTGAATAGTATTGCTAAGTGGATATGGTTCTACATTGATATCTCCATAATTTTGAAGATAATAGGCAATGTGAAACTTAGAAAGTATAACGTTTTATAGCAGAAATTTAATGTTTCTTTTGTATTATTTGTAATAGACTTTGTAGATAATGAAAATTTTTTAGGAAGTATCTAACTTAATCTGATAGTTTTTGTGTATATAAGATTTGTTATCAAGATAACCTCTGAAGCCATCAAGGTTTCTCAGGAAAGACACCTGCATATTTCTTTTTAAGGTCACATAATTTTCTCCTAGATTTTGATTACTTATTCTCTGGAAATACTTCTAGTTCTTTACCATTTTTGCTTGCCAATATAATTACCATTTGTCTAGTATTTTTTTAACCCCTGCTGGCAGAGAACCTAATATTAGATGTATTTAACTACTTATCACTCAAGACAGAAATCCATATGATTTTAGTGCTGCACAAATCAGATGTTAATAAACTGGATTTGAGATTTAAATATATTATTTTAATCTCTGTGGGAATTGTGTGAAAAAATATGAAACAAAATAACACAGAAACTATATTACTGTTAGACCCATATTAATACTAATATGCCAAAACTAAAACAATGTAGCTTTTGGTATTTTGTAAATGCAATTTCTCACCAGAAATTTAGAAGCCTAATGCCTCTACCTTCTTTAAGTTCCTAGATGACTTTTGCCTTTATGTTGAATTAAAATTTATATTGTTAAATAATTGATATTGACAGCTAATGCCAATCTTTCTTTGCTTACATTTTAAATTCACAAGGGCTCTCTTTTTTATGTAGATGTTTTAAATGCTAAATGTATTTTAGAAGTGACAGTGTATAACCTATAATAATGTTATTTCTATTAGGTTATCCATACGGAAATACTTTTACCTATAACATAGCCATGCAAACATACTAAAGCTATAAAAAAGATAAAAATGTAAGATAACTTAAAATCTAATCTCAGAATGTAATAAATTGAACGTGAAATACATAATTTTAGTTATTAATTTATTTTACAAGAGACAAAGTATCTCTTGGCATTTTTTCACCTGTTTGCATCTGGCAAGTTATTTCAGGTTGGAGTATAAATATGAGGTTGCCATTTGCTTACAGACAGCAATATGTTGCTGCACATGTGGCAGATATGGGTTTACCTGTATAACCAGGGGCACAGAGGCAGTTGTATCCATCAGTTCTATAGACACAATTTTCTCCATCTAGACAAGGTGATGTTTTACATTCATTTACATCAAGTTCACAGAATGGTCCATAGTACCCAGGTTCACAATTACATAAAAATCTGGAGAAAAGTAGAAAAATAAGAAATAGCTATGTAACAATGATAATCATTGATTATATATGATTCATATTTATATTATAAATTGAAGAAATTTGACTTAATTGAAATTATATATTTCATTTTTTCTTTGAAAAAATATAGCAATTCCCCTTTCAAAATTTTGTTCTGCTCAAATGTTGTGCGTGAAATTTTGAAAAAGAATGTGTGAGATCATACAATATATATGGTAGAGCAGGTCATATATGGTAGAGCAGGAAGGTGAATTCAGGCAGTCTGACTCTTAACAATTTAAAACCCAATTATTGATTTTGACTTAAATATGCTCTAGAAGTCCTTTCTGAGTGTCTTATCAGATAATAAAAGTAAAATTCCATTACCTGATATTAAATGAAAAAAAAAAAAAAAAGAAAAAGGATGTGTTGGGTAATTACCATAACCTAATAAATACTAATATCAAAATATAGAAACAATTTCCAAAAGAGAAATTAAACTGATAGAAATTGTATACTTAGCAAAAATATCTCTTCATAGATTTTCCTTTTAGAAGTCTAGATAAAGAAGCTTCAGCAACTTTTCTTAAAATGTTTTTGAGCCAGGTTTTTATTTAGATTTTCTGAGGAAACTCTTCCTAATTAACATCATTCATCATTTTATGACCACAGAAGTCTAACATCCCCCATGCTCCTCTTTTACTTCTTCAACCCATATTAATTGTCCAACATTAGTCATGTACCCATATTCAAGTGTAAATGAAACTTGAGCTTGCTTTTCAAAGTCTCAGGAACAGGATAGAAATACAGACATGTAAACATTACAGTAAATACATGTCAATAGAGACAGGCTTTGTGAAAGCACTTACTTAGTATCAATAAAGAAAGTGGGGTAAGTGTTTTAAAATTCCGTATATGAGTGAAAACATGTAGTATTTGTCTTTCTGTGCCAGGTATATTGAATTTATAATAATGTCTTTCAGGTTCATGTATGTCACTACAAATAACAGGACCTCATTCTTTTTTTATGGCTGAAGAGTATTTCATTGTTTATATATAGCACATATTTTTTTTTCATTCATCCCTTAAGTAAAATAAACCAGGCAGTAGAGGAGAGGAGATAGGAAAGGTTGATTGATGGGTACAAAGAAAGTTACAATTAAAAAGAAAGAGTAAATTTGGCGTCCTATTGAACAGTACAATGACTATAGTAAACAATAAGATATTGTGTATTCAAAGTAGCTAGAAAAGAAAATTTTGAGTGTTTACACCACTCAAAAATTAGAGTATGCTAATTATCCTGATTTGTTCACTACAAACGAATGAACAAATGTACTGTAATATATTATATAGCATAATGATACAATGTATTTAGGTATCAAAACAACACAATAAAATAACATATTACATTATTTATAAATTAAAAATAAAATTAATAGAGTAAGGATTCTTTGTATCAGTTGGGCACAAGGCATTAAAATTTGATGTGCAATGGCATACTGGGTAAACAAAAACAGTATTTCCTAAGAGCTCTTCATGTGACTAGGGAATTGACTATAATCATTTTTTTAGAATAGCACTAATCCAATTACTAACTTTTTGAATTTTTGTTCAAATAGTTAGACTTTTTTCCTTCATCTTATCCATTTTGTGAGTATCTCCCCATCTAGTGAGAAGTAATATAATCAATCTATTAAATGCTTTACTAAAATCAAGCAATGTTAGTTGGTAAGACCATCTTTGATTGCTATTTTGTGTTCTCACTGAATTAATGACGATTCCAAGGAATAACAGAATAGACAGGAAATGAACACAGGATTAATAGAAGTAGCAGTGAAAAGAATCTTAAGAAATAATTTTTTTCATATTGACAAATTTTAAAATGTTGTATTACTATAAAAACGACTTTCAACTTAACGTATTTCATGTACACATGGCAGTTCTATTACATGTGTAGAAGCTTCAGAATCTACTTTCTAGTTTGAAATATTGAATACTAGAAAATTATTTTGGGATATTTTGCTTTTTCAGTGATTTATGATAATTACCAGATTGTTTCAAATTTTTCTAAATAATAGTTTACTCATTTAATTTATAGAATTCTCTCATTTTGAAAATCAGAAAAATCTTAACATGCCTTGTCTTTTGCCACCCAAAGTTTGTTTTCTATTAATGCAAATGATTCTTTAGTGGCTTCATGATCAGTCAGCACCCAAGCGCCCTAAAATCTGGAAATCTGAACCAACTTAAAACAGGAGATGCTCTTCATTAGTGATTCTTGTTTGAGTCCATTTTCTCCATGCTATTTGCCAAATGGCGCTTTTCTAACACCTTTGTTCTTCATTTACTAGTTGACATTCTACTTTTAGAAACATTTTCTTCATTTATTCATTTTTTATTCAACTATTTTGTATCACTATGGACTCATGGATTTTTATTTTCTCAATGGATCAAATATATAATGATTGTCATTTGTTTTAATGTTAATTTGTCTGAGATTTGGCTAAGGGAACCTCTTAATCTGGCTTCTCTTTTCTTTTGACACATCTTCACCATTCTTGGAACATTCCCACTTTGGAGCACAAGATGTTCCAAGTCTATCTTAATACATTCTCTGTCCTACATCTGGCATCAGCCACTTTTTTGCAGGTGGCCTTGTTTCTTTAAGTGAAGGATATTACTTAGAAATTAAATCACTGATATGTACATCACCATATATATGTATAAATATAGTTATATGTATGGATACATGGTCATATATATGTACACATATAGTTGTATGTATATAACTGTGTTTTTGTATACATAGTCTCCTTCTGTAATTTTGTGCATGTTTGTGTATGTGTGTGTTGGAAACACATACAAATGACTGCATGAGATCCTACCAAACACTCCAATCATAATTTAACACAATAGGGTTCATTTTAATCCAGTCTATTTCTTTATCTGAAATTCCTTTTCTAAATAGTGAGAAACCTGACTTTCATTATCTTAAACATACTTACTTGTTTCATAAGCTAATGTGAAATTTTTGTGAACTGTCTTTTTGTCATAATGAAGATGTAGGTTTTGTTGGGTGTTAATTTTTCTTTGTCTGTATAGTTATCTTAAAGATACATGAAGAGATTCGGATTTTCTCACCCACCCAGAATTCCTGTTTTTTCAATTATAATTTCCTTTTGAATTTTTCTTTTTGAACCCTTGATAATTTTTAGTAAATGTTATATTCATTTTTTTGCTTCCATGTCCATCTTTCAAATGTATTTGCCCTTATTTAAAATAAGGCTTCCCAAAAATTTCCTGTAACTTGTTTATGAATCTCAAATACATAACTTACCCTTCTGATTTTGAAAGTGATGTCACACAGTAAATACACATACATAAACTATCTCAGGTCTTATGGAGGTTTATTTTTCTGAAGTTTTTGGGATACAGATAACTATGTGAAGAATTATTTTTAATGATATGAATCATAATAATCCTTTCTTCCAGGAATGCTTCGCTTCTACTTCAATAACCTTTGTTTCCTTTTTGCTTTCAATCAAGCCCATTATTAAGTTTTCTCACTTTCTAAACTACTCCTGAAATCTGAAGTTTTCAACATTGCAAAAATATGCTTTACTTTTACATAAAATTCATTCCAAGCATTATTAAATTTCAAGAATCTGTTGAACCACAGATGCTTGATCAACTGGAATGTTGGCGTCCCTGCTATAACAACGATGCCAAAAGGCCCTGGGATTCTAGAGTCCATTTGGAAGTTTTCTGAATGGCATCTAAAATTTTGTAGAGATGAAAAGGAAAAAAAAAAAAAAAAAAAAAAGACCCACTATTAGCAGCCGCCCTGCTGAAACAAATTGTTTACAGAAAATATTCAACTTATATTTCTTATTTTCCACCATGCTAAACAATATGAAGGCAAATGTGTGTGAAAATAATATTTTACTCTAGAACACAGCATCTACCTTTAATCCTTGAGTCTCCCCTTTCCCAGAAGAATTTAAATGTTTTTATTTTCTCTTTCTCCTTTCCTCCCTCAACCTGCCACTTCTTGCCCCCCGCTCTCTTCCTGCTGCCTGTCTCTAATAAGAAAGGCAAGCACAAAGCTGAGCATTCAGGACTTTTTTACTCTGTACTTAACATTGGTCCTTTAAAACATTAAAAAAAATAAAAGTACATAGAGTATGTCTGAAAGTATCTTCACCAAATTTTCCCTCCTATTGACCTCTGGCTATACTATGAAATTTGTTCACCTTTGGTATAATTTTCCTTTCAGTACTGCTCAAGATCCCTTTATGCTGACCACCTCTAATGAGGCTAGAGAAAAATTAAAAGTGAACCTTAATTTTAGTAATGTCTTAAGTGATCTAGTCAAATATATAGCAAGTATTGGGTTTTATATTAAAGGCCCCTAAAACATATCTTCCTTTGATAAAACTCAATCTTAATAGCTTTTAAAATATACATATGTAGTAATAGCTTCCATCTTGACAGAACAATTAAGACCATGAAATACCTATTTTGATGAAATATAAATATCTCATTTAAATGAAAATCTTTGACTTCAAAAGTTCTAGCAGAATTAAACTTACATTGTCAAAGTATTGAAATTAAAATTAATATTATTTTTGATAGTGGCCTAAAATTTTTCAAGTAAATGTTCAAGATACTTTTTCAATCACTAAGATGCACTTTAACAGTGACTTCTGAAGAAAATTCAACATATTAAAATAGAGATAAGGAAGAGTAACTATAATTTGCATAAAATGATATTGCCAAAATACAAAAAGATGGAAAAATGAAAGGTAATCACAAGAATTTATAGCCCCCAAATTAGCCATCCTTACATTTTATTTACTTTATTGTTTTATAGTTTTTCTTTTATTCCAAAATGAGAGAGGAATTAATAAGTAGTTGCATTGTTTTTATGCTTCTGAAGAATTTTAAAATATAATTATTAAATAGATTCAATGGTATTACAAAATCCAAATATAGCATAGAATTTTTTAC